CTCTATATTCATGGACTAAGAAGAGAAGTACTAAGAGCTGGTGGCCAGGAGCAGACTTGCAGAATGTGCCCTTTGGAGATGTAAATTACTATATGTGCCTGAGTGGTTTTCTTTGTTTGTTTTTTAAAAAGCTAAAGTGGATAGAGAGAAATACTTTTAACTGATGGTACATGGAGGGGATTATAATCAATGTAATGAAGCAAGGTATATATGATTTGTTGAATGTAAAACTGATGATATGCCCTGTAAACTTTCACTCAATCCACAATAAAACCCAAAGTCATGTGGATGCAGATAATAATAATCACTTGACCTAGCCTCAATAGATGGATGAACAGAGCTCAACTAGAAGAAGAAGAGGAAAAAAAGAGTAATCTGATACAATGTGACGAACTTGACCTATACTTATGGATGCAGTAGCTCAAAAGAGGGAACACATTTTTACAGCGAGGATCATTCCTACCCCCTCTCTACACAGGGTAGACAGGGATGGGCAACTTGGACATTGGCTACCCAATATGGGGGTGGGGCAACAAAGGCAAGACGTAACTGGCTTACAACCTTTCAAGATGGAGCCTAGATCCAGAGGGCGTGGAGGAAGGTAGAAACTCCACTGAGTAGTATCCAATCTGTCTGTGTGGGGATGATGAAAGGAAATGGGGATAGGTCTCTTGTGGTACAATAGTGAATAATTGCTATCAGGACTGACTGTGAGGGTTGGAAATGTAAAGATAGACATTTTGTAGAAAAAGGAGGGGAGTGATCGACTTTGCAGTCCAGGAGCAAAGGTCCCTGGGACCATCAAGGGACAAGTGCAGAGTGTGGGACCATACACAGAGAAGCAGTGATGCCAGAGATGGAGGCAGAGAAGATGATGTGGAGAGATGGAGCTGCTGGGGACTTTAGACCCTGAAAGGGAGAGGGGCTGTGTGCTGACGACCGGGGGGCAGGCTTGCAGGGTATACCATTCAGTTGGTTGATGATGCATGGAGGGGATTATAACCATGGCAATGAAACGATATACGATAGAATGAATGTAAAACTAATGTTCTCCCATGTAAACTATCACATAATTCACAATAAAACATTGTTAAAAAAAACCCATATGGATTGGGATTCTACTCTGACATACAACAGGTAGTCATGTGTCAGAACTGAGTTCACAGCAACTAACTGCTACAAGGAAGAGACTCGGCTCACACATGGGAAAAATGAGGAATATTCATGAGTTTTTCTTTACTTCTGCTAAGTAGAGCTAGGATTAAATCACTGAGGAGATACTACAAGAAAAATAATAGTCAATGGAGCACACTTTGTTCTCACTTATGACTAGTCTATAGTAACCTCAAAGCTAAAAATTTCCTATGTAGACATACTAAGACATTTTCAGCCATCCTTCACAAAAGGAGCCATATGCGAGCTGGCCTGGAGGTGTCAGCTTTCCTGTTTTGCCCACAGAGCTGTAGAGCAGAAGCAACCTCTGGTATTGCTGAGTGGGGTTACTGGAGAGCTCGAATGTCAAAAGCTGCACCTAGTCATTGCACTTACCTCTGGAGCAATATAGTCGGGTGTACCGCAGAACGTTGCTGTGGTGGCCCCGTTACAGATCCCTTCTTTGCACATTCCGAAGTCTGCCAGTTTACAATGGCCTTCGTGGTCCAACAGGACATTGTCCAGTTTCAGATCTCTGAAAGAAACAGATAAGAGCATGTAATGGGGTCAACTTAGACATTGTTGTTCTTACGTGCTGTTGAGTCGGTTCTGATCTATAGCGCCCCTTATAGGATTTCCGAGGAGCAGCTAGTGAGCCTGCAGTTCAAATGATTTTCAGTCTGGTGCATTAACCCACAGCACCACAATAGGAGTGGCTACCTAAAATGAGGGGGCGATAAAGGCTTATAAGTTTTCAAGAGGGTGTTTAGTGTAAGAGTGTGTGGGGGAAGATAGAGTCCTCACTGAATAGTTTTCATCTTGTCTGGATGGGTCTGGCTAAAAGAGATGAAGATAAGATTCTTATAATTCAATAGTGAGTAATTGTTAATCATGACTAACTGCGACTGTCACAATTGTAAAGGTGGAAGTTTTGTAACAAAAACGGGGGAGTAGTGAATCTTACAGTCCAGAAACAAAGGACCCTAGGATCATCAAGGGAGAAGAGCACAAGCAGAATGCAAGACCTTATCTAGAGAAGCAGTGACGGCAGAGATGGGGACGTGGAGAGAGGGAGCAGCTGATGACTCTAGATTCATGGGAAGAGAGGGACTGAGAGTTGGCAGCCTGGAGGCAGACTAGCAGAATGTGCCCTTTGGTGGTGTAAATTATTATATACGCCTAAGTGTTTATTCACTTTAGTTTTTTGTTTTTTTTTTAACTGTTAACTGATGGTACATGGAGGGGATTATAATCATTGTAATGAAACAAGGCGTATGATTTTGTTGAATGTAAAACTGATGATCTGTCCTGTAAATTTTCACTCAATCCACAATAAAAATCTTTTTTAAAAAAAAGTATGTAATGGACCATCCCTCTGGATGAACTAGCTCAGGGTTAGACCACAATGTGACCTGGTGTGACTGAGTGAGCTTTCCTTCAAAAACTGCTCATGGTCTTTGCACTCCAGGTTCTCTAGGCTCAAAATGCTTAGAACAAGTCTCGGAATTTGCTTCATAGTTCCTAGATGATGAGTGCATATGACCGGCCTATCCACATATAAAAAGAGTCAGCTTCCCTTTAGAATGCAACATTTTCAGGAGTCCCACTTATCCTGAAAGTATAATCTACCCTTACCTTCCCCGTTTCCACTCTAGCATCCACTCCTGCCCACTGACGTTCACTTGAGGAACAATTTATTGGACAAGTGACTGACTGTGTCTGGAGCAGTGATAGGGTTCAAGTGCACAAAGATATTCATCCCTGAGGAGCTCACAGTATAACGAGGAGACAGACTTCTTAGACTAATAGATCTGTGATGGAAAGATTATAAGGTTCACAGTGCACTCAATAAAGGCTTGTTCAAAAATATATAAGGACAGGCTTCAAAAAGTTCATGGAACAATGGAATGAAAACACAAGGGAATTTTCCCACAACATGTTAGAAGACACATATATAATTTATATAGAGCTCTGATAGTGTACCTGTTATGAGTCAGGTTGCTAAACTCAAGATCAGCTGTTTTGTGGGAGAAAGATGAGGCTTTCTGCTCCTGTAAAGATTTACAGCTTTGAAAACCCTATGCAGGATAGCTATGAGTCAAAACTGACTCCATCCACACCACCACCACGTATATATATATGTGTGCATATATGTATGTGTGTATACACACACACACACACACACATATATATATATATGCACACTGACTTGACAACACAAGTGTTGTCAAATCAGTTCTGACCCATAGTAACCCCTGTATAGGATTTCCGAGGAGCAGCTGGTGAGCTTGAACTTCCGACCTTGTGGTTCAAACAGACCCACAATGCCACAAAACCAACTACTTCTGGTGTGGTACTGTAGGATCAAAACTGGACTGGGAATTATTATGTCAGCAGTTCAAATTCACTTGGAAACCCTATACAGAGTTACTCTGAGTCAGAACCGACTCGGCAGCAGTTAACAGCATACAATTTATTTATCCATTCATCTATTGGAGGACATAACTTGATTGCTTCCAGTTTGGGGCAACTATGAATAATGCTTTCCTTTTTTAAGGAGTTATGTGGTTAGAAGCAAACTTCAGTGAGGAGTCAGCTGCCCATCATGCAGGGGACACAGGTAGTGGCTACAGACAAGTCAGTGCATGTGGCCTCCCTGGACTTGGGTCTCCTGCTTCTATTCAGCTGGGAGAGGTGCTGCCCCCCTCACAGTGGTCGGAGCTGACTGCTGCGGTGATTCAGACTCATAAGATGTTGCGGAATGGCTTTCATGGCTCTGTTTCCATATTCCTGATCTGAGAATAAAAGATCTGTTGGCCTGCTTGGCCCAAGGGGAAAGACTGGCCTCTGTCCAGGCCTGGGCCATGCTGTGGGCTCAGAGGGAGGAGGTGCTGACAGGACTGGTGTGACCGATCCCCACACCGCCCTGTGAGTTGATATAGCCTGACCATGAAGGGCTCATGGACACACAGCAGTAGGCATGGGAACATGCCCAAGAAAGAGAATGGATTCCGGTCTTCCAGGAATGCCCGCTAAGTGTGGTTCCACCAGCAGCGTTTTCCAGGCACAGATCAATGGGAGAACAAAACAGACCTGCTCTTTGCTCCTGATGTGGAAAGGGAAGGGCGGGTGTAACGCCAAGGTGCCGCGAGTTTCTGCACACCCACTTCAGTAAAGCAGACCTTCCCTGCCTCTAAACCAGAGGGTTGGAGAACCTTTTTGCTGCCAAAATTTATAGAACACCATTCATGGGCCATACAAAGTTATCAACTTACGAATTAGCCTGCTATATTTGGTCAAACTTTTATGTGATGGCTGGAGTCCTGGTGTGGCGCTGTGGGTTAATGTGCTAGACTGAAAGGTCGGCTTGTATCACGAGGCCGGTGGTTCAAGCTCATCAGCCACTCATTGGAAACCCTATATAATAGGGTCGCTATGGGCCGGAACCAACTCGACAGCACTTAGCCACAACAACAAAACAGTGCGATAGCTAGAATCCTGGTCGGTGCTATGGGTTAAAGCACTGGACTACAAAGTCAGTTTGTACCGCAAACTCACCAGCCACTCCTTGGAAACCCAACAGGGTCACTATGGCTTGGAACCAACTCAACAGCACTTAACAATAGTGTTGATGGCTGGAACTGTGGTTGCGTTGCCAGGGTCAGACCAAATTATTTCAGGGGCCTTATACAGCCCACAGGAGTCCTGGTGTGACGCTGTGGGTTAATGCGCCAGACTGCAAAGCCATTTGAACTGCAAGGTCGGTGGTTTAAGCTCACCAGCTGCTCCTTGGACACCCTATACAGGGCCGCTATGGGTCAGCATCGACTCAATGGCACTTCACAACAACAATACAGCCTGCAGGCTGGACATTTCCTACTTTTGCTCTAAACCAAACCCAGCCTCCCACCCCATTCTACCTTCAGAATCTTTCTATTTCCCATACAAGGATTGTTTCCAGTGGGGTAAGATCTTTTTGCTTTGGTTTTTAGTTTGTGAACAAAGAAGGAGTTAAGTAGATTTTATACAATCCCTGAAGAAAGGAATACAGGAATGTATAGCAAATCTTTCTCCAGTGATGAAAGATTCAGAAGCTAATATGCAGTCCTCTGCAAATTTGTCAAAATTCATCCAAAGAGAAGATCATGGGCAAATGTTATGGAACAGCCTAGACACATAGAGACACACACAAAATGAGCAAAACTTATCTAACCCACATGGAGTTGGAATAGCAAGAGCCAGGGGTGGTGGGGGTTATGGTGGTTATTTACATGTTAGCGAGACTGCTGACAGGGTCAAGTTCAAACTGGAAAGACCTATCAAAGCTGGTCCTTCAGTTCCTCAGAGACTGATGGTAAACATTAGTGAGGCAGCTGGCTGCAACCAGAGATCAATCTGCGGCCCAGAGAGATGACAGGGCTGTGATGCATTGAGCCTGTGAGTGAACTTGGCTTCATTAACAGCAGATTCTAGGCCAGCGGTGCTGATCCATGTGGACCTGAGCCTAGAGTGCTCTGATTTTCCCACATTGCCAAACAAGGTTACTGAGTTTCTGAACCTTCCCGAAGCTGCTATGCCTGGTAAGGTTTCGGAAAAAACTTTCTCAGGCAACAGGAACAAGTGCTAACAGAAACCCACACTGGTCTTACTGCGCGTAAGCTAACCTGAGATTGCTCAAGAGAGTTTGTGAGTAACATCCCAGGTAAGAGGTCTGATTACTTCTTACTCAGCTACTGCCACGGGGAGCAGGGATTGTTCTGGGAGAGAAAGGTGCTTAGCAAGCAGTTCTGTAAGTCCCTGGTCACAAGGCTCCATGCAAAGATGATTAGAAACACAGCCTCATTGTTCCAGAGACAGAGCTGAGCAGCACATCCTGCTCACAGAATGCTTGGGGGCACAAAGGCAGGTTACACACCTTAGTCCTGACTCCGCAGTCTAATTTTAGGTATTCTCAGAACAGTACAAGCCCTGGGGGGGTGGGGGTAGGAGGGGAGGAAGAGCCATTACCAGTTTTTCACCAAGTACTTCTAGTAGGACACAACTCTCAAGATGGGATCCCAAGGGGTTTCAGGTTTCCGCTCTTCCTTCCCTCAGCTCAAATACTGCACACATCTCTACTGTTGCGTATTTCCTGATTTCCCCAGACATACCAGTTGCCATGAGCCCTGGTATGGTGCTATTGGATAAGCACTGACCTGGCAACCACAAGGCTGGCATTCAAATCCACCAGTCGCTCTCAGAAACCCTATACAGGTTCGCTATGCACTGGATTTGACTCGATGGTACACAATACCAACAACCAGGTTCCATCGAGTCAATTACAACTCAAGGCAACGCTACGTGTGTCAGAGTACACTGTGTTCCATGTGCACCACAGGGTTTTCAATGACTAATTTTTTTGAAAGTAGATCATCAAATCTTTCTTCTGGGTGAACCTGAACTTCCAGCCACTTTGTTAGTAGATGAGCACATTAAGCTTTTGCACTACCCAAGAACACAGCCAAGGTCAACTCTGGTCCCTAGGGCATCTGGTTC